TCTTTAGTAGTTTTTGTTATTTTGAGCTTTTTGAACATATATTTCATTATTTTAATTATCAATATGGGTTTAATTATCATTTCTTCTTCTATTTCTTCTGTCTTAAGCATGAGTAGCTAGATTTTCACTAGGGTTATGACCCAACCCTAGAGTGTAAACTTAATGGGTGTTTGATTTATTGCCTGTTTATGGTTTGGTATTTATTATTTAGCCTTGTTCTTGCTTTTAATTGTAGAATTAATGGTTGCAAACATTAGTTCATGCCTATTTGACTTTGTCTCTACTTGGGAAAGAGAGACTTAGTCTAGGAAAACTTGGCTAACAAGAAATTGGGGTAAATCAAGAGATTGATGGTCCTAACTAAAAGGTTAAATCTAGAGATAGTAAAACCCGACTTGAGCTTTGTATCAACCGTTTTGTTCAATACCCATTTGGTCTTGAGAAAGCCAAGTTAGGCAACATCACTTCTGACCGAGAGGTATTGAGTGGGTACTCGAGTGTTGATAGCTATAATATACCCCGACCAATAAAAGAAGTCTTAAAGTTTACAACCCGTTAGGCAAACACCTAGGTGAAGGTCATAGCCCTAGGCCTTTTACATCATTTGAAAAATAACAACAAAAATAATTTCTTAGTTTCATAGAAAAGACATAGAATAGACATAGAAAAAATACCAATTTGTGGAAGTGTAAATTGAGATAGTTCATACTCATACACTGCAATCTATACTCCTAAATCCCACGTATAGCTCCCTGTGGAACTCGACCCCGACTCCTTGTTGGATATTACTATTGTAATCGACCGTTTCATAACCTTGAATAAAGGTGTGACTTGGATAAGATCAATAAGCAAGCCTTCATATTATTGAATTAAATTATTGCTCCAAAGCACAAACACAAACGTCCCTCTCTCTCTTCTCTGCCAAAGAAAAAAGACCCCATTGATTGAATTTCTTTTTCTATTTTAATTTTCTACGAAGGTTGACAAAGTCTTCGTCCAGCAAAATATTTCTCAATTTTTATTTTTTATTTTTTATTTTTTATATGATTATATTGTCTGAGTTCGCTCGTTCCATCTCAACTATTTTATTGGAGACTTAGGCGGATAAAAATTAATCACCTAATGATTTTTGCCTCTAGTGTTCTTATTTGAACATACAATTTTATGAATTTTATCTCACTTTATTGACCATTAGGCACACCTTTAGATCAAAATATTTCTCAGTCTTCAACAAACTGAATTAATAAAGAACCTAAATAAAATGCACTACTCAAAAAATTACAAGCCTGTCTATTTGAATCGTAAAATATGTTAAAGACTAAAAGTAAGGTGATATCCGAGTAATTTCTTTGTCACTAACAACGTACGACGACTTGAATTTATTGTAGTTCAAGATAATAACCCATCAACAGAACTACCGTCTATTCTGCACCTTATATTTTCTTTGTACATACCGTGAAAACATAAGTGGGCCTAGAAATAGCACGGAATGTGTCTTTTTTCAATTTGAAGTTTATTAAGATTTAATCTTTTCTATTTAAGTTTCTAAGAAGTGTTGTATTGAAAAATATTAAATAGCAGTAACAAAAAAGAGCTTTCTACATTTGCAGAAGAAGAAGATTATGCCATGGATTCAGTTAATTGTCTGAAAATAAAAAAGAAAACTGTACAGATATATTGTGGTTGTTGTAGTAAGACAACTGATGTTATTTCTGACTAAGTTATAAATAGGAGACAAGAAATAAATAAGTATCACTCCAAAAATGAAAAGTTTCTTAAAAAATGGGCTCTACTCCCTACAATTATTGCTATTGTATAATGTAGCATTATATGTGCTAGGATTTCATTGAGTATTACTTTCAGGTGCGTAAACCCATGCTCTCCTACCTTGATCATATATAATATTGCGTGCACCTCTCTAAGTGAGATTGTGAGTTCAAATCTTATGGTAATCTTATTTTTTTTTCTTTCTTTTTTTTCTTCTAAAACTAGGCGTCACATGGTGCATATTAATTAAGTACATTTCTTTTTCTTTCTTTCTTTTTGATTTATTCTTTCAAAAATTTTACATATTAAAATTCCTATTTTTTGTTTGTCACCGGAAATCTTATATGATTAAATAAAATGTGCATATTAAACTAGTGGATGATGCAGCATATAGTATATTATTAGGTTCAACTGATCCCAACATTTTCAGCATGGAGAATGGATATATGATGTAAGAAAATTACTATTAAAAAAATAATAATTTTGAAGTTATAATTCCAACAGTGTAATAGGTGCAAAAGTAAGAACCGAACATTAAACCTGTAAAATTTATATCCTAGATTCACCTCTTCTTAATAGGTGCACTTATCTTCCCAAAATTCTGGATCCGCCCCCGACTACTCCTAATAGAAAGTAAATAGCGGGAGTTTTTTGTGAAGCTTCTTCTCAATGTTTTACTCCAGTTGATTAGAATTATTATTCTTACTATTGGGTTTTCTTTGCACTGTAATAGAAGGAAGTAGGAAATTTCTTCAAAGATCATCCACCCTCCCTGCACCAAATTCCACTGTAATATGTACACAAGGGACAACTGAAAGTACAAGACGATATATGAAGCTACAAAGAAAACGAAGGGTAATATCCCAGTAATTTTCTTAGTCACAGACAACAGTTGCACTAATCAAAAGTAGTACTATGGTCCTATTTTTCTTAGCGTGGATAGAAGGTAAAAACAAATGTAGGTCTATAAATGAGAAGGAATGTCACTTTTCGCAAATTTTTTATAGAAGAATCAAATAATGTAATTAATTAAAACAAACTTTACCTTATTTTGATATATGCATTATATCCTTTGTCGCTTGTTGCAGAATAGCAGGGTTTTTTCCTCTAGCTATGATGCCCATTTCCCGAAGCTTTGAAGACAGCTTTGGTCACTGCTCCTATATTGGCTTTGCCCGATGGCTCTCAACAGTTCATAGTTGAGATTGATGCTTGTGACATTGGAATAGGGGCAGTCTTGATGCAGAAGAGACATCATATAGCTTAAATAAGTAAGGAACTCTCCCCAAGACATCAGACTTTATCAGTATATGATAAGGAGCTTTTGGCATCGGTATTAACTGTCACTAAATGGTCACACTATTTGAGAGGAAGACACTTTATAGTAAGGATTGATTAAAAAGGCTTGTAAATTTCTCTTGGAGCAAAAATTAAACAAGTACTCAAATGAAATGGATAGCTAAGGTCATGCAATTTGACTATTGTAACGACCCGATCGGTCGTTTTACTTTCTAGGTTCCCGTTACTATAATTAAAATTTCCCGTATGTGCTTTTATTATTTATGACTTGTGGGAATGGTTGGTTCGGGTTAGAAAGGGTTCGGGTTAAAATCGAAACACTTAGTTCCTTAATAATGGCCCATAATGGCCAAGTTTGACTTGAGTCAATATTTTGAGTAAATGACCTCGGAATCGAGCTTTGACGGTTCTAATAGATTTTTATGATGATTTTGGACCTGGGCGTTGTTCGGATCGGGTTTCGGATGACCCGGGAGCATTTCGACGCTTAATGTTGGAAGTTGAGGCATTGAAGGTTTTCAAGTTCTTTAAGTTTGATTTAGAGTAGGTTTTGGTGTTATCAAGGTCCGTTTGAGATTCCTAGACTAGTAATAGTTTTGTATGGCGATTGTGACTTGCACGCAAAATTTGGTATCATTCCGAGCAGATTAAGTATAATTCGGCACGTTCGAAGTAAGTTGGAAAAAACTTGAAGTTCATATGTTGATTCGATTTGGTTTTGGTGTGCGATTCTTAATTTTGATGTTGTTATACGCGTTCCGAGAGTTCGAGCATATCCGTATTATGTTTACGAACTGGTTGGTATGTTTGGACGAGGCCTCAGGGGCCTCGGGTGCTATTCGGACGATGTGCGGAACATGTTTGAACTTGGAAGAATAGCTGAAGTATCAAGGATCTGGTGCTTTCGCACCTGCGAAGAATTCGCCACAGGTGCGGCACCGCAGAAGCGGCTGGCTAGCCGCAGGTGTGAATCTTGGCAAAGCGAGCTGAGTCAGTAGGTGCGGACGTGGGGGGCGCAGGTGCGTGACCGCAGAAGCGGTCAATGGTTTGCAGAAGTGGCCTGGAGATGAAGGGGGCAGTGGCGTAGGTGCGAGGGCTCAACCGCATCTGCGAGCCTGCAGATGCGAAGAAGGCGTCATAAAAGCGGAAGGAGGCCGGCTGGGGAGGAACGCATCTGCGATGCAACCTCCGCAGATGCGGATTTGCAGAAGCGGCCAATTGTTCCGCAGAAGCAGAATCACTGGACCTTATTTTAGTTGAGACTTAGGCTCATTTCTTCATTTCTCTCATTTGTGGGTCGGATTTAGAGCTCTTTGAGGAGGGATTTTTCACCTAGAACTTTGAGGTAAGTAATTCCAATACTATGTGAGTTTAAAACATGCATTATGGGTAGATTTTAACGGAGAAATTGTGGAAATTATAGGTTTAGTGGGAAAACCTAAATTTTTGATAAAAATGGGATTTGACCACGAAAATGGTTATGGAATTAAGTAAAAATTATATATTTGTGTTCATGAGGCTATGGGTAATATTTATCTTCAAAAATTTTCAGAATCCGGGCACGTGAGCCCAAGGGCGAATTTTAGGAATCTTCCAATTTGGGTTGGGTAAAGACTCTAGAAGGTAAATTATGAACTTTTGAGTATATATTGATTAGTCTATATAATAATGACTAGTTTTGGAATTTTCGGCATCGACTTGAGGCTTTTAGAACAAACTTGTGGACCGGAAAGTGAGCTTGGGAATGAGGTAAGTCTTTTGCCTAACCTTGTAAGAAGGAATTTACCCCATAGGTGTTTGAATTGCTATTTGCTACTAATTATGGGGGCTACGTACGCACGAAGTGACGAGGGTCCGTGCGTAGCTCTATATATATATATATATATATATATATATACACACACACACACACACACACACACACATTTCCCACCCTACTCTTTAAATTGTGGCATGTCCCCATGACACACAAATAAAAAACAAGAGGTAAAGGAATTTTTGCTCCATGTTTTCCTAATATCCAGAATTGCTCTGCCCGTAGCTAAGAAGGGTCTTCCTAAAATCAGAGGGACCTCCCTATTTTGCTCCATGTTTACCACAATGAAGTCCGTAGGGAACACAATTTTTTCCACCCAAACTAGCATATCTTTCACTATTCCTTCAGGTATGATTGTGGTCTGATCCGCCAGCTGCAAGGACACAGGTATCGACTTGATATCTCCAATCTCTCCCTCTAATTTCCTGAAAATAGACAAAGGCATAAGTTTAATAGAAGCACCTGAATCATACAAAGATTTTTGAAATTTAGTACTTCCTAAAGAGCAAGGTATAGTAAAACTCCCTGGATCTCCATACTTTTGAGGGAACTTATTTTGCAAAATGGCACTACAATGCTCTGTCAGCTTGACAAACAATGTCTCTTCCACTTTTCGCTTCTTGGATAATATCTCCTTCATGAATTAAGCATAAGCTGGCATCTGAGAAAGCACATCTGTGAAAGGTATATTCACATGCACCTACTTGAACACTTCTAGAAAGAGCTTGAATTGTTTGTCCAATTTCTCTCTGTTTTGCTTTTGGGGGAAAGGTAGAGCAGGCATGTATTTTCTCTCTTCAGTCTCATTGTTTGTTGCACTATCATTTTTCTTCTTTTTCTGAGCTCTAGTCTTCTCTTTCTTCTTCAAATCCTCATCTACCATCACTTCACCTTTTTGAATGTCATAATTTTTCTGCTTTTCCACCATCTCCACCTATCTTTCAATCGGCTCATCCTTTTGCTTTGCTATGGGATCCTCCAATTCATGCCCACTCTTCAAAGACACTGCATTTATTGTCTCTTTTGGATTTCTTTCTTTATCAGCAGGGAGCGTTCCTGGAATCCTCTCAGACAATAGAGTAGCTAGTTTGTCAACCTGTCTTTTCAGGTTTCGAGAAGTCGTGCCCAGTTCTTTGATAGCTGCACCATGTTCTCGTATAGATGAGCCATGAGTTTCAAGCCTCCCATATGTCTTGATAATGAAGGCCTTCATTAGATATTCCATGCTAGACTAATTGGACTGTGGAGGCTAATATTGCTGCCTTTGCTGATTTTGAAAGCTTGAAGCTCCTTGACCCTGAGGTCTAGAGTTATTTTGATGCCATGAGTTCAAGCTACCACTTGGTGAATTCCAAGAAAATTCCGGGTGCCTCTGTCCCATAGAATTGAAATTATTTCCACTCTGTTAGTTGCCTCTATCAAAGCTTCCCACAGCATTTACCGCTTCATTTGCAGCTAAGGCCTGACACTCATGCATTGGATGACCCTTTCCACATAAATCGCAAACTGGTGATGGTTGGCTCTGAACTTTGGCTAAGGTCAACTTTCTTATCTCTTTGGCCATAACTTCTAGCTGGGCTTGCACTGCTGTGTTAGAATCTACTTGATCAACCCCAACTAATTTTTTTCTATTATTACTCTCAGCAGGCCACTGGTTAGCATCTTCAGAGAGCACATCAAGAATTGCCACAATCTCCTCAGGAGTCTTCTTCATTAAAAGACCTCCAACTACAGTGTTCAAAGTTCGTCGTGAGGGGGGTGTCAGTCCATCCCAAAAGTCCTCGAGTTGCAGCCACAATTCAATTCCATTACGCTGACACTTCCTCACTATCTCCTTGAATCTTTCCCAAGCCTCAAAAACTATTTCCGTGTCCGTCTGGCAAAAGTTGTGAATTTCCCTTCTGAATTTCAGTGTTTTTGCAGCTGAGAAGTATTTGTCAAGAAACTTTTTAGTCATGTCTTCCCATGTCTTGATCGACCCTATTGGTAAGCTTCGAAGCTAGTGCTTCGCATCATCCTTCAGTGAAAAGGGGAATGCCCTTAAGTATACTGCATCTTTTGACACTCCGTTGTACTGGAAGGTGTTCATGATTTCCTCAAAATCCATTAAGTGGGTGTTAGGATCTTCATTCACCTTTAGACACAGTTGTTCTGGATAGTTTGAATCAAGCGTTGCGTCAACTCAAAATTATTTGCTGCTACTGGTGGAGGTCTGACACTGGATAGTCCCTAATTGTAGATTGGTCTGGCATAATCGCCCAATGCTCTACCAGTCCTAGGTGCAGCATTCTCGAATTGGTCTTCAATCAAGGGTTGATTTAGATTGAATCTTCGACCCCTATCATCTTCAACGATCTCCTCAGCAGCTCTACGGGTTACCTCAGCTGCTATCCTTGCAGATTCTTCTCTAAGTTGTGTTGCTTCTCTTGCAGCTAAATTTACCTCATCGTCACCATTTTTAGCCATGTGTTCTTGGGTTGAAGGTTTACCCAAGAACTTTCCGGTGAGTTCTTTCTCTTTCCTCAACTGTCGCAGACTCTTTTCTACCTCTGGATTATATGGAATCAATTCCTTTGAAGAAGATCGAGTCATACACCAGAGACATCAATCTGTTGCCTGCACAAAAAAGATGAAACCCGTGACGAATAAAAAAGAGAAAAAATAAAATAAATTCCTGAATTAGCACCAAAAACTAATTTGAACACCATTGATTGCCAAAACACAACACGAAATTGGTGCTCGCTAATCAAAGATAGTATAGTACAATATCATTTCCACAGGAATTGGATTTAAATAATGCTCGAGTAACTTCTGATTTAATTGCTATTCAGGAGGTTCAACACTTGAATTTATTGATTATTAACTCAGTTTAACTATGAAAAGAAAGCAATTGATAATTGACAGCAAGGAATTGGAGATTACAGAGTTGGTTTCTTATCGATGTGAGGAATAAGGGTTTAAGAGGATAGGTGCAAGATAGCTATTTGGGACTTAACTCTAGTTTAATTCACTCTAATGTTCTAATGATTCTCACGAATTCACTCGATGATTAGTCAAAACGTGTAGTCAAGACTCCTCTCTCGATTAAATCTTAACTCTACGAGATGAACTAATATAAGCACTGTGAAAGTATGCAAGCATGCGTTAATGGATTGGTCCTGATAGAATATATAAGTCCACCAAACTATATAGAGACCAGGTCCTATATAGGTTTTCACAGATAACGTTAATGCAACAGTAAGTAAATGGAACGGGGAACTTTTACGTGGAAAATCCCTGCTCAAGGGGATAAAAAAATCACGACCTACACTGGTAGGATTTCAACTTCACTATGAGAAATCTTTAGATTACAACCTATGCAATCTAGGAATGAAATTCCCAATCCCTCACTAACTTGTAATACACCTATTACAAGCCACTTTGCAATAGACCTATTACAAAGACTTCAACTCATGACTAACTCTAGTCACGACACAAACACTAAAGGTTTATGGTTTACAAGGGGTTCCTAAATAAAGCTTCTAGATAAGCAAAGTAGGAATTACAATGAAGAACAATTACAAAGTTACAACTCAACTAAGGACATACAAGAGACTTGTTGTAGGAACTGGTCCGTAGTAGTGTTGTACTTTGTTCTTGATGCACTTGAGAATTGAATGTTTGATTGTCAGATGCTTGAATGAATTCTCTAAGTGTTTAAGTGATGTTTTATTGTAATGTTTATTGTTAATACAACATAGATGACATCACTTGAATGATGTAATCACTTGGTTGATCAATGAGAAGTGACTGTTGTACTGTGCTTCACTGTTTGCGTGTACAGTGCAGGCAGTTCACTTTCCAGTTGTAGATAGTTGACTTCGTACTGCTGTCAGGGGAACCCAAGGGATCAGGTCCCTATGTTAATTCTTTATCTTCTGAAGTCATAGTAACTCACATTAGCTTGAGTCTGTTGATTGAGTTGTGTACCAAGTGTGTCAGGTTCCTTATTTGGTTCTTTGATAGTAAGTTTGTTAGATCATCAAAACATAAAGCTAAGGCACTGTAAACCCATCAATTTACCCCTTTTTGATGATGACAAACTTAGAAATTGATAATCATGTTTTAGAGCAACAAAAACCAGATAAAGTAACAGGAACTTCACAAGTTCCCCCTGATGTTGTGCTTCCCCCTTAATCAGTCCCTGCGTTTCTCCTTAGCTCCTTCAATTTTATCTATTTTTCCTCTTTTTGCCATCATTAAAAACACAAACAAGCAAATAGCATAAAGAAGTCTAGCATAGTTAACTCATGCCACTTATGTGCACACAACATGATAGAAAAGAGAAGCAGAAACACATAAGCATTTACAGCAAAAAAAGGAGAGTTTTCATTAAAAAAAACATAAGCATTTGCCTTTACAGCAAAATCAGTTTTGGACTGTTTATACGGGAGCAGTACTAGTGATTTCCATCCACAAATCAAAAAAAAAGAAAAAAAGAAAAAAAACATAACTACCACGACATCATCAAAAGGGAGATAAACTGGACATTGGTCACAGAGAGATATGCCTAGGGGACACTAGAGAAATAGGGCTTGGAAGAGGCAGCAAGGGTGTTGAGAACAAGATCTATCCAAGCACCGGGGGACATTTGCTCAGTGAGCAGTTTCTCCTTCAGGTTCTCAACCTGTTGCTTGAGATCAGCATTCTCCTTGGTTAGACGAGCAACCTCTGCATTTGAAGAACTAGAGGACCCTGATGCCTCTTGAGCCTGACTGAGATGAGTCTCTAATAACGCATTCCTTACTTTCAACTTTCTGATATCTTCAGTAGCACTGTTTTGAGCATTTATAAGCTGGGAAATCGTTGAAGTGCTTCCTACCACTCCCATTTTGTTGATACACTCACATTCCTCTAGAGTAGTTTAGAGATAGTCTACTTCTTGGTCCCTATCTTAGGCTGTCCCAAAGGCACTTTAAAGAATTCGAAGACACGCGTGAGGAGAAACCCATAGGGGAGGCCATGATTTCCACCTTTGAATGTTGCCACCTTTTGCATATGCTCAATCATTATGGCTGGCAGCTTAACAGTTCAGAATCCATCCAGTGCTTCCATCAGATACAGATCAGACTTGGATGTGATGGACCTCCTCTCAGCACGAAGAAGCAGGACCTTGTTCACCAACTCAAACAGGAGCTGATAAATAGAAAGCAAGGCTTTCTTATGCACCTGTTCCCCCCGCTGCACTGCTCCCTCCTTAACTATAGCATGCCTAAAGTTTGAGCCACAGGCATCTCTAATAGTAGACAGACCTTCAGCAGGAACCTTAAGTATGTCTCCTAATAGAGCAGAGTCCATAACAATGTCTACGCCATTTACCAGTGCACAGATTTGATCAGATTCAACGGTAAAGAGGTCTGCATAGAAATTTTGAACCTCTTCCTCATATACCTTGGGAACATCCACCTTGAATAAGTGTCCCCACTATTGAAACTCAACCATCTCAAGTACTTGACGTATTCCAGCCATCTCAGAAATCTCAGGGTCAAAAGTACGACCCCACAGCACTTTCTAATACCTCAACCTTTCTTTACCAGATATACTTCCCTTTCTTGCCTTCTTCATAGAACCGGGTTCCTTCACATCCCCCAACTTCCTTTTTATAGACTTTCACTGGATTTAACTTTCCCACTAGACTTCACTTGCACATCCTCATCAGACACAGACTCTTTTATCACAGCTTCCTTCAACTTGCCACTATCTTTTACTGACTTGTCACTGGGTGTTTCAACAGCCTCTTTTGAAGTACTCTTAGTAGAGTGCTTCTTTTTCTTAGACTTCCTGATCAAGGAACTTGGTTCCTCTGTGTCTTCCTCATCAACTTCCACAACTGGGATATTCTTGTCACACATAACTTCACCATTCTTCACCAGCCTTTTCTTCTTCCTG